TTTTTTTTTTCAAAAATATTAAATTCAATAAAAATATATAAAATTAAAATTTACAAAAAAAAAAAAAAAAAATATTTACTTATATTTTTAGTAACTATTTTATATTAATACAATTTTAATTTTCAAAATTAACAGTTAAAGTGGGAAATTTTTGTTTTAATCTTTCTGTTACTTCATTTTTTATATTAAATGGTATTTTTATTTCTTCACTATCATCAAAATTTTGAAATTTTAAAGAAACAGAATTATTAATATTTTCTTTATTAATTACTATATCTTTAATTATTATTTCTACTTCTATAAAAAAAATAAAATAAAATAATTTTTACATTATTTTCTAAAAAAATATTTATTATATATTCAGTAGTTTTGTAGAATGTTTTACACTATAATAAACTTTTAATATATAAATAAAACATCACTTAAATATATATATATATATTTTTTTTTTTTTTTTTTATTTACTTAAGAAATCAAAATACGGTTTTAATTGATTTAGACAATTTTGTATATTTTCTTTGTTAATTTCATCAAAATTAGTTATTATTACATTTGGTTCTTCTTTTTTTTCATTCCTAATATACTTTTTTAAAGTTTTTTTGATAACTTGTGATACAGTAACACTATTAGAACTACAAGTAACACAGTTTCCTAGTAGTCTAATATATAAATCATTATTTTTTATCTTTACTAATTCAACGTCACCATTATCTATTTGTAATTTTGGTCTTATTAAATTTAAAACTTTTTCTACATTTTCATGATTTAATTCATAATATATTTCTTCATCCTTTTCAGGTGAGGATAAAATTTTTAATTTTGTTTTCCTTTTATTTTTTAGTGTATTTAATGAACTATTTAATATTTTGTTGTTAAAAAGATCAAAGTTACTGTATATAAATAACAAGTTTTTTTTTGTAAATTTTAAACTAGTTATTTCATTTAATAAAAAAAGATATATAACAGTCAAAAAAAAGAAAAAGAAATGTTTCATTTTTATATGATAAAAAAAAAAAAAAAATAACAAGTAAACGGACAAATTGTAAAAAATAATGAAAAAAAAATTTAATTTATAAAAAATTACACTTAAAAAAAAAAAAAAAAAAAAAAAATTATAAGATTAAATTTATTAAATTACATAATGTACAAACATATATATATATATATATATATATATATATATATATATTTTATTAAAATTATTGCTAATGTATTATAATTGAAATAAGAATACGTATAAAATAAAAAACAAGAAAATTTTTTCGGCTTAAATTTTATATAAAAATATTTTAATGGCAATATGTGTTAAAAAAATAATAATAAAATTACTTATGTAAATAGGTATTATAAATATTAAATATAAAAAGTTTCAATAAAGTGAAAATAAATAAAAATTAATTTTTTTTTTTTTTTTTTACTTTGAATAAAAACTAAGCATAAATTCTTATATAATTTACTCTTTATTAATTCTATGAAGAGTTGATAGAAAACTTTATGAATATAAAAAATTAAAATTATGATAACATTTAACTTGTTTATATAAATGATATGGAAAATTTATCTTTAAAAGAGTGAAACTTCAGTATGATAAAAATTTATAAAGAATATTTTAATGGAAGATATTATTTTAGTAATATATTTTCATATATAATATTATATTTACATAATAAAGAAAACTTCTTTAAGAAAAGAACAAATAAAAACAAATTATGTGATAATTATAAAAAATCTTTTAGCTTAAAAAAGAAAGTTATAAATGATAAAAAAAAAAAAAATATCGTAATTCATTTCCCCTCAGAAGAAATTAGTCATTTTTACTTTCATTATTTTGTATATATTTTAATACCAAAACTTAATTTGAGTGAATATGATAAAAAAAAGATTATTGATAACATATATTTAATTAATAATAAAATTGATGAAAATGTTAAAACATACATTTTTAATAAAGTAAATCAAAGTAATTGTAATATAATCTTTTGTAACAAATTATTACCAAAAGAAAAATATAATTATTCTGGTACACTTCTAATGTTTTTAGAGAATAAATATTTTCTAGATTTTTTCTTAAAATTACACAAGAAAAAAAAAAAAAAAAAAAAACATCTATTTTTAAAAAGGAAAGAAAAAAATTTTAACAGAATAAATAATAATTTTTATAATTTAAAAAAAAATAGAGAAGATACTATATGTAATTATTTGTATATGTTTTATTTGTTAAATTACAATTTTAAAAAACAAATTATAATAAAAAGAAATAAAAACTTAGAATTACTAACAAAATATAATCAAAAAATTAAAGAAATAAATAATAACATACAATGGTTTAATCATTATTCTTTTTATAAATTTTATTATAATGCATATATAAGTTTTCTCAATTATAGAATGCTTATTTTTCAGAGTCTAATGGAAAATGTTATGAAAAAAAAAAAAAAAAATGCACTGTATATTTTTTTAAAATATAAAAATCTTACATTAAATTCAAATATATTTTTTGATTTCATTAATAAACAAATATTATATGTTAACTTTAATGATGCTGCTACTTTATATATTAAATTTTTACAATTATTTGAAAAAATTGCCTTATTTTCAAATATAAAGAATTACTCTAATTATAACATAAGTAATATTAATGAAAAAAGAAAATATAATAAAAATATTTTAATAAAAGAAATTAAAAAAAATATGAACATACATATATGGAATAATTACGAAAATGAGAACTTTCATTCCAACTTAAATAAAATTAAATTATATAGATTTTACAATTAGAAATTTTCATTTTTTCAGACGTTATTTTCAGGATTTAAAATTTCTATTTTTCCTTTATACAATTTTTAATTTATATTTTTTTTTTTTTTTTTTTTCTTATTTCTATTTTTTTTTTTTTTATTTTTTGTTAATTTTTCTTAAACTGCTACAGATACTAACTTTTTTTTTTTTAATTCATAAATTAATTTGTATTTGCAATTTTTATTTTTAATTTTTATAAATTTATACTCCTCATCAATAACGAATATTAATAAGTTTCATAATATGTAATCTATACTTATAAATTTAAAATATATTTCTCAATATTTTAAGTTTAATTTTCTTTCTACTATATTATAAAAATTTTAAAATTACACATAAAGTAATATATATCTATATATATATATATTTTTTAAATTTAAACATTGTTTTTTTTTTCAATTTTTTTTTTTTTTATTTATCTTTCTTATTCTCATTTTTTCTTCTTGTTTCATTTTTCTTTTTATCTAAAAGTCATTGTTATAAATAATTATAAAATCTTATCAACTTTTTTCTTATTAAAATGAAATATTAAAATAATATTTTTGTAAAATACAAATTCTTGTAAATGCTTATACAAAACATAAAAAATATAATTTATTTAAAAAAAAAAAAATAAATAAATATATTTATATTCCTGATTTCTGCAACTAAAAAAAAAAAAAAAAAAAAAAAATAGATTCTTATCTACTTAATAAATATACATATTTGTATATTCATGTAATATATGAATTTACTATTTAATTTTCATATATTTTTTTTTTTTTATTAAATGAAAAAAATTAGAGTATTACTATAAAATAAATATTTTTTTTAATAATAGAAGAAAATTTTGAGTAATGATTAATTGTTATAATACTTAATATATTTTTAATTTACATTTTTATATGTATAAAATATTTTTAAAAGAAAAATTTTCTACAAAAAAATGATATATATTTTAGGAAAAGAGAGATTAATTAGCTTAAATGAGGATAACATAAATGATGAAAATTATTTATCAATTAAAAGTATTTTAAAAGATGAAAATGTAAGTATTAATAACTGGGTTGAAGTTAGTTTACTTTTTCATAAAAAAAATTATTTTAAGTTGTTTTTAGACTTGATAAAAGAAGGAGAAATATATTTTAATAATAATAATGATAACACAAATTTTAATATATTATTATTAATATATAACTTAGAAAAGATAGTAAATATAAAAAATGCTAATAAAGAAGATGAACTGAAGATAAAAGTAGAAAATTTAATGAATCAAATAGAAAAAAAAAAAACAGAAGCTAATAACTTTGAAAATATCAAAGATTATTATGATTATTTATCACATTTTTTAATTAAAGGAATATATAATATTAATATATATTTATATTTACTAAATAAATATGATAATAAAAGTGGTAGTAATTATTTATCGTCATCACTTAATAATTCATTAAATTCAACAAATTTAAAAGGAAATATTACTAATGAATATATTAATCCTCTCAACTATTTAATTGATAGTATAAATATTTTTATATATTTATTAAAAATAAATAATTATGATTTTGTTTCATCAATCTATTTATCATTGGCTCTATGTCTGATGTATAAATTGGATGTTTGTATTGAATTTTCTTCGTATGCATTGATCAGAATAATGCATTTTCAAAATTTCTTAAAAAGTTTATCTGAAAAATATAAAAATTCTTATTTAAGTATCTATGATAAATGTAATATAAATAATTGTAAAGAAGTATCAAAAAGTGATACACATTTCACAAATCTCCAAAAAAATGATAGTAACAATGACAATTATGATTGCAATAATTATAATTCTAATACCGTTAATAATAATAACAGTGATATTAATAATAATTTAAATATTGATAATATATTAAAATGCATTAGAATAAAAAACTTATTAAATATATTAAACAGTTTTAAATCAATATTAAAATATATCATTGGAATTTGTTATGTAAAAAAAAAAAACTTTAGCTTTGCTTCATTTTGTTTTACATCCTCTTTAAAAAACGACAATTATTGTTCCTCTTATTTAACAAATTCATGGTTATTATTAATGAACTATTTAAATAAAATTTCTCAAAACAATGATTTTATAAAAAATGATCATTACGACTTTTTAAAACATTCTAATAACTCTTCTGGATTTCATCATTTTGAAAACTTAGAAAATTATGAAAGTGATGATTATGAACAAAATGTAATAAATTACGAATCTTACTTAAAAAATTCGAATGATAAAAAGGTAAGACATTATGATTTTGAAAACAGGGATAACACAGCAAATGGTGGGAATATAGAGAACAAAATAAAAAACTATAATACAGGGAATCTTAATATAAATGAAAATAAAGAAAATATATTAAGTAATTATAATATAAAAAATAATTTAAAAAAGATACATATAAAAGAAATTATAAAACTAACTTTATTTTATTACTATAGTTATTTAGAAAAAGGGATAATAAATTATTCAAAAAACCTTAATACATTGTTGAATTCTGAAGAAGCTTTTTTTATTGATAAAAATGATATATATGAATATGATGAATCTATTGAATTAGTTAATAATGAAAATATGTTTATAAAAAGCAAATATTACAATGTATTTTTAAATAATAATATGATATCTATGTATTTAGATTTATGTGAGATATGGTTGATACTTGGTAGTAATAAATCTATTATTCTTTTGAAAATTATAAAAGAAAAAATTAATTTCAATTATGTTAATAAGAAATTTTTAAGTAAGTATTATTTTCTAATAGGTATGCATTACCATATAATAAAAAATATAAAAAAATCGTTAAAATATTATCATAAGAGTTTTATTATTTATAAAAATAATATAAGTAGATATTATTACACTATATGTTGTATTTATTTAAAAAAATATAACAAAGCAAAAAAGAATTTAATATATTTATATAAAAAATGTAAAAATGCTTATATAATAAAATTATATGTATTCTTTTTTATTCATACATCTAATATCTATTTAAATTATAACCTTATAAATAAAAATGAAATTACGTCTAACTTAAATGTAGAAAAGGGTGATGAAAATAGTATTATCACAAAAAATGAAAGTGAGGTTCAAGAAAAAGAAAGCACTAAAAATATACACTATATTTTTAATAATAAATTTTTAAAAAGTAATATAAATAGTGAAATGAAAATAGTACTAAAAATGTTACATAATATGATAGATATTTTAAATAATAATGAAGAAATGTTTCCAAATGATTTAGATATAAAATTGATGAAGTCCAAAATTTATGAATTATTAATTACAAAATATAATGACGAGAGTGTTGATTTATATTTCAAGATTTTACATGAAACAAATGAAGTAAAAAATTTTTTTAATAAAAAAAATAATTTCCCAAAAATATCTTATGAATTAATTAATAATTATATAATTTCCATGTTCTATTGTAATATGAAAGAAAAAAGTTTAGAATTAATGGAACTTTTAAAGTATGAAATTTTTAATAAATTAAAAAAATTTATTAAATATTACAATGTATTATGTAAAGGGAAAATCCAAAAAAAAAAAAAAAATTTCCTATATAAAGAAGAAAATTTCACTAATAATAATGAGAAAAAAAGAGAGGAAAAAGAAAGTGAAAATAGTTTTTTCAAAAATGATGATAATAATAATAATAATAATAATAATATAAATAGTAAAAGAAAATATAATCATGATGATATTATAAGTAAAAGAAGAAAAAATAAAGATTATCATAATAACAGTATTAATGATTATTATAATTATAATAATGAAGAATGTAAAAATATTTTAAACAATGATTATTCACTAGTAGAAAATAAAAAGATAAAAGAGAGTGATCATATAAAAATAATAAATACAAAAAAATTAAAATACATAAATGCTATATTAAGATCAAATAGAATATATGAGATAAGAAATAATTTAACATATAAAAAATCTGTAAAAGAAATATATATAAAAAGAGTAAAGAAAGAAAGATACAAACATATTATTAATTATTTAAAAAAATTATATATCACAATATGCTTCAATAATGCAATGTTATTAGAATTAATTGGTTATAGAGATATTTCTATTAATATATATAAATTATTTACGCATATATATGTAAATTATGAATGTGCATTTATTAGACTAGCAAAAATTTACATTAAAGATAAAAATTACTCTAAAGCAAAAGAAGTTATAGATAATGGATTAAAAAAAAATACGAATTCTATAAATTTATTTTTATTAAAATCATATTTACATTTTAAAAGAAAACATTATGATTATAGTATATATGCTTTAGAGAAATTAAGAAAAAATGATTATTGCAAAAATAATGTGCTTATTAACACATATTTAGCTATAATTAAATTTTTCAAACTAAAAGAATGTAAAAACACATTAGAAAAAAATTATTTAATAAATGACATTTATAATGAAATCAAAATATTATTAGAAAAAAAAAATAATTTTTTTTTAGCTAATTTAATTTCCATATTACTAAGTGTAAATCATAAATATGAATTATCTTATGAATCACTTCAGTTGATAATAGATTCGTATGATAAATTATCCTTTTATTATTTAGCTAGTTTAAGGAATATAGTTCTTCTTATGTTTAATAATTTAATTAAAAATAAACATTTAATAAATAATAAATTATTTTTAAATAAATTAAATGTATATTTTAATTTAAGTTTAAAAAATGGAATAAATGATAAAAAATTCTTTTTATATTATTCTAATTTTTTGCATATATTAGAAAAATATGATGAATCCATTAATTTATTGTATTTTTGTTATGTTAAATGGCCATATGATTTGTTAATATTAAACTCACTTATTATTTGTATTGATTCATGTGTGTCAAAATATTTAAGTTATGAATATGTTGAATTAAAAAATATTATTCTTATGAAGGATTTAATTAATTTTTCTTTTATTGTCATATATACATTATTATATTTTAAACATTTTGCTACAACATCTCAGCTTGTTGGATCAGGTATTTTTTAATAAAAAAAAATAATATTATAAAATAAACAATTTTATATAATACAAGTTATTATATAATAATATTTTTATACATTTACATATTAATAGGCTTTCATTATCCTATGCATATAAATGTTATTTTTATTTTTATTTTTTTATCTTATTTTTTTTTTTTCTTTTTACATATTTCTATTGATAGATGAGTACTATAATTATTACAAAGAAGAAGATTATATAATTGAAGTGAAAAAAAAAAGTATTGAAAATTTAGCTAGTAGAAAATATTTAATTTCAACATATAAAAAATTTGAAGAAAAAATAAAACCATATATTGAAAGTAGTCTTCCTGCAATGCTTAAACAAAAAAAAATGTATCATATCAAAAAGATAAGTATACAAAAAAAATTATATGAAGAAAAAAAAAGGAAAAAAATGAATTTTGAAATGCAAAAATTAAAAAGTCAAGAAATTTTACAAGAAGAATTATTGAATGATGCAAAAGAATTAACAAATGAGATATATGAACAAGATATAAGTGTAAAAGAACAAAATCAAATTGAAAAAGATAATCAAGACACTTATTTGAATAATACAAATACAAGTATAAAGAAAATAGCAAACGATATAGAAGATAAATGTTCTAATAAAATAGAAGATTATAATTCTTCATCAGGTAGCTCTGATTTATTTGAAGAAAAAAATCCATCTAAAAAAAGAAAAAAGGTCATTGATTAAGATACACATATTAAAATAAAATAAAAACTAATTTTAAAATAAAAATCATTTAACAGTTGTAATAATGAAATAAAAATTTAAAACAGAATAAAAAAAAAAAAAAAAAAATAGTATAAAATAATATTTATTAATTTTGAAAAAAAAATTTATGTATGTTTTTATTAGAATATCAGATAATATAATTTATTGAAAAAAAATTAAAAAAAAAAAAAAGTGTGCATAACAACACATATGTTTTAATAGAAATAGAATTTATATATATATTTGTTTATTTATTATAAATATTATTAAATAAACAAATTTAGCAAATTTAACCTTATTTAAAATAAGAATAAGAGATTATATAAAAATTTACAATAATAAAGAAATATTATTATGATAATATTAGAGGAACTTAAACAATACCATCATATACGAATAAACTTAATTGTAATTCATCATTTTTTAAATTTAAATCGTTAAATTTACAAAAATTATAGGAATTTTGATAATATTCTTTTGATAAATATGTGAAGGGGCCTTTAGTAATTCCGTTAAGTGAAAAGCATATATATTCATCCAATACATCATAATTTTCTAACTGTTTTAAACCAATACTAACATAACTAAAAAAAAAAAAAATAAATAAATAAATAAATAAATAGATGAAATATATAAATAAAATATAAGGTTATAAAGTAAATAGTAGTTCTATATAAGAATTGGCTAAAAAAAAAAAAAAAAAAAAAAAAAATTAAATATTGGCAAATTAAAAATATTACTTTTTTTTTGCAGACTTATGACCATCTAACCAAATTTTTAATTTAAATGATTTTTTTCCAGCAAAAGAAAAAGGAGAAGTGGTCAAAGGAATATTTCCCATTTCTCTAAACCTCCAAAACAATTTCTGTAAAAAAGAAAGTAAAATAATTTATAAAATATTAACATTACTACTTAAACTTTTATTATTAATAATAATAAAAATAAAAGAAAAAGAAAATGAAAAAGAAAATGAAAAAGAAAAAATATATATATTGTTATGTTACTAATTTGCATATTAATTTTTCTTTTTTTAGTTTATTTTTTTTTTTTTTTTTTTTTTTTTTTTTATTAATATACTTCTTGAACATTTCTAATTGTCCACACTACTTTGTAATTATGTATATGAAGGGAATCAACTTTATTTATATTGCTTATTGTAAATGAATCATTAATTTTTTTTTTTAAATTATAATCTTTATCAACATTCATATATAAATATTTATTATTATTGGTGTTAATATAATGTTCTAAATAATGATTCATTTTTGTTTCATCTTCTGGTATGCTTTCATATTTCTTCATAACTTCTTCTGTTTTTAAGCAATCATATTTTGTTTCACTTTTAATATTGTTTTTGTATTTATAAATATAATAATAAATTAAGTTTAAAATTTTAGATTTATTGTATTTTTCTATATGATCAATTTGAAAAAAGTTATAAAAATTATAAAAATTAAAAAGGGGTGTATTTACAAACACATTTTTTAAGGTATCTCTTTTTAATATATATTTATCTTTTAGCTGACTATTTAAAACATAATCGTGGATATTATCAACTGGAATTTTCTTTTCGTATGTATATATTTTTCTACGATATTTTCCTATATGAATATTTTTTTTTAGCTTTTTTAATCTTTTTTTTTTTTTTTTAGTTAATAATTCATTATTTTCCTCTTTCTTTTTTTCATTTTCATCTGTTTTTTCTTCATTTAGTTTCTCATTATTATTTTTTTCCTCAAATATTTTCTCTTCATTAATTTCTTTTTTATTTATGTCATCTTTATCTTTTATATATAAGTCTAATTCGTTATTAAAACCTTCCTCATTTTTAGACAATTTACCTTCAATTTTTTTCTGTTCAATTTTTACTTTATTATTTTCCATTTCAGTCATATTGTTTTCTTCAATATTTTTCATAAAACCATTTAAATCTTCATTTTTATAAAATTTATCTTCTTTATTATAAATACTATTATCTTCATCTGAATTTTGGGTTTTATTTAATTTTTGATCAATATAATCAAATATAGAGTATTTTTTATTTTCACTAAATATATTTTCTTCTAAACCTTCATTTTTCCTTTTTAATTTATAAAATTTCAGTAGTCTCCTTCTCATTAATTTTTTATTTACTTTTTTTTTCTCATTTTCTTCATCTTTTTTTTTTTTTTTTTTTTTTTTTTTTTTTTTTTTTTTTTTTTTTTTTTCTTTTTTTTTCTTCTTATATGACTAGGGATACTTCTTATCATAGATTGATCCTTCTGTTTTCTAAATATTAATCTTAATTGAAATTTTGATAATTTATTGTAGTAATTATTATAAGTTTTCATGTAATATTTTTTTTTTAAAATGAAGTTATTATATTCAAAATTTGAATTAAAGCAAAAATAAAATAGGATATTTTTTAAGTAAATAAATAAGATCAAATAAAAAAAAAATTTCAAATCCATTTATCTCTTTTTTTTTTTTTTTTTTTTTTTTTTTTTAA